TAGCTTTTCAAATAATGTTCTTCAGACACAGATGCTACCAAAAGATAGGTCTAAAAGATGTTTTTATTTTGAAAAAGTAGCAATTGATCAATGATCCGGGCGACACTAGAGGTCCTCTGCACAAAAAGTTTGGGGATCGGTGGTGTAGGAGACAGTGTTTCAGGGTAGGGTTCCAAAAACACTAACAGTCAGTTGTTTTAATCTGTGGTCTCTGTAGAAAGAGCTCATCTGTAAGCTGCAGGGAATCTCGACCTCCATCAGCCAGGAAGCCTTTGAAGAGACCATTTATGAACGTTTGGGAGAAGATGATTTCAGGATGGACACACTGAAATGGTGAGTGACTGTCGCTTCACAGCTCTGTCTGTTTTTTTTTTTCCACTTCATCTTTGCTGAGACATTTGTTTTAATGGATGAAATAATGATTTGAAAACCATCACAGTTTGACTCAGCGTTTAGATCAATCACTTCCAAAGAATTCCTTGTGTCTTAACTGATTGGTTTTCTGCACAAATATACAATAAAAATCCAGAATCTTCTGAAGAGAAAATTGTCCAAAAAATAAAAATTGAATTATATTAATTATACTCCCCTAATGTCAGGAATATGTGAACTTTATACAGGAAAAAAACCCAAACGTTACCTCTGGAGTTTCAACTAGTTGTCGACTTCTTTGTAAGGCAGGAGCCCTAACCGCTCTGCCACTGATCACTGATTCATATTGAATGAAGGTCTTGTTGAGAGACTCCTGGTTAAAACCTACTGGTGCTGGTTTCTGTGGAAGTGCATTTGTTTGTGCAGTGAAGGTGGATGTGATTCCTGCCGCTCCTCAAAGTGAGCGTCATTGAATGAGTGACTGACGGCAAGGACGAGCTGTTCCTCTCCACACTGAAAGCCTGGAGTGTTGTAGCACACACACACACACACACACACACACACACACTCTTCAATTTAAGTCAACTCTGCTGCAGGTGTCCTCAGTTCAAGGCCTTGCGCTTCCATTGTTGTTCTCCCTCTGCTGGCGTTAAAGGTAGGAGGGCCGCGCCAGCATTGAAAATATAAATTCCACAGATGGTGAAAGTGAACTGTTGGGGGCGGGGGAGAAATTCCATCCTAGCCTTTAAATGAGGGTGAAAAGCAACATGCTAACAGCTCCAACTGAAAGACTTGTTCATTTATTCAAAGCCATAAATGTAGCTGCTCATCTCTTTACATTTAGCCAAGGATATGTGGAGCAGTGCCATGTTGTGAGGGCGTTAAAGTGGAGTATTTTTCTGTTAAAGCTCTTAATGCTGCTAAGTGAAGGTTATTCCATTGTAAGGTTTTGTCTCTTTCTTTTCTGTGTCACTGTTTTCAGGTTCGGGATGTTGAGCGAGGAGCCCGTGCCTCAGGCTGACAGCATTCTGGCTGCTGTGACCAGACATCTGCATGACAAGCTGTCATTCAGTAAGAAACGGGCGCAAATCAGAGAGAAAAAATATGAGCGAAAAATATGACAAACTTTAACCTGAGGCAGTGAGGGTTTTTAAAACGATTACAGCGAACGCAGAGTTGATCGATACAGTGAGGCAAACAATGAGAAAAAGAATAGAAAATATTAATGAATAAAGTATTAATTACATGTGAAAATGATTTAATAACCCTGTTTATATTGTACAATACACTAATAACTTTACATTTATCACTTTTTTACATTTACATCGTTTCATTACTGTTCTGATAATTAATCCAATATTTCAATACTTTGTTGGTAATGTTTACATTTAACGATACTCCAGGTGTGTAACCCTTTTCACTGTAGTTTGTCAAAGAAGGGTTTGATTTGGAATGACTGGGAAGAAGGTTGAAATAATTTATTTCTGATGTGACTGTTTAAACTGTCCCCCCCTCCCTCTCTCCCACTCCCTCCCTCTCTCTCTCCCCCTCTCCCTCTCTGCGTGCTGTGCAAAGACACTGGTGAGCGAGACATGGTCATCTTGAGGAACGATGTGGGTCTTCGTCACCCGACAGGTGAACTGGAGACCAAACACATCAGCCTGGTGGTGTACGGTGACCCCGGCGGTTTCTCTGCCATGGCCAAGACTGTAGGATACCCAGCAGCCATTGCTGCTCGCATGGTCCTCGATGGTCAGTAGCAGCATCTCTCAGAAAACATTAGTCATTTTTTGTTCTTTTTTTCTTGCTTTCAAATGTTGTCTTAAATTAACTTAAAACGAAAATAAAGTTAATTCATATCTCCTAAAACAGGCACTGATTCTGAAATATCCAAAAAATCTTTACTATTTGTGCATTTTATTTATTATTTTTCTGAGTGAAGACTATTTTTTTCCTTGCCCTCTGCAGGTGAAATCACCAAAAAAGGTCTGGTGGTTCCAGTAACGAAGGACATCTATGGACCAATGTTGGCGCGACTTAAGGATGAAGGACTTTACTTCATGTCCAAAAGCACCGTGGAAGAGTAGGTGACCTTTGACCTCCAACCAGCACCAAAAATCTCTCTTTAAAATTCTGTCCAAAACTCCAAAAATCTTGTAAAAAGAAATGCACATGAGTTGCCTTATTCCTCACTTTTGAAAATAGTATACATATTTAACTTGTACAGCAAAAGAAGAAATACAGTATGCGAACTAAATACTAATGTACGCTGTCTACCTGTACTGACAGACCTGTATTTTTGAAAACAATAATGCATTAATTTTAAGTCAAGTTTGAAAAGATGCTAAAATGGAAGAAAAGAAGAAGAACTGTAAATCATATTTAATTTATCTCTTTTTAGTTTGGGGAAAAAACAGAAGAAATGAAGTTTTGTCATAATAATAATAATAGAGGTGTGCAGCTCTTAAGCTCATTGGTAGCTCAGCGTACAGTGTTACAGTCATACTTTAATGATGCTAAATGCACAATTAGCAATTCAACTTGTTTCTTTTTAATACTTTTTAATCAGAGTTCATTCGGAACAGGTCATACAACATGTTGTCACAGCACCCTCTAGAGTGCTGCAGGTGTCACTACAGCTGTAGTGTGCTATTGTGTAACATAGTTATACTAAGATGAATGAATTCAGTGTTTTTAATGGTTGGTTACTGAAACTAAGTAAACGAGAAGGTATGACAGGACGCGTCCAAATGTGTTGATTTAAAGCAGTAACAGTTGAGAACTGTTTCTTACCCCACCAACACAACTCAATGAAAATGTTGTGAATTCAGAGTTTGACACTGGAACTTAGTAAAGTATTGATAGTCTGTATAGTCTGTCACCGACCCAGTAACTGAAGCCTGATCAGTATCTAGTTCAAAAGTAAAATCACACAAAAAGTGTTTTTTTTTTTTTTTTTTTAACCGCCTGCTACTCACACTACAAACGTCAACGTTATCTGAAATGTATTTTTTATACTGCCTTTAAGGGGGCGTTGTTTGTGCCCACCTTGTAAACGGTTGTTACATTTTTCTAACGGGCAAAGTTACATTAGATTGATATCCTATAGTAAAGTTATATATGTATGGAAAATATATATATATTTGCAGTTATATATGAACAGCTCCAGACACGTACGTTGTAAATGTTGGAGTGTTTAAAATCGCAGTGTTTTGTTGAACATATTTGATTTGTTTAACTCAGTAGAATCACTAACATCGACACCGTGTCATATGTTCTTTTTCATGTGACGTTGATAAAAATCCTGTTCTTCGTCAATTGTGTGTTTCCATCACACAGCTTTGAGAAATAAATTAATCCTCCAAAATAAAGGATTTTCTTCTGTCTTTGTTGCTGGTCTTTAAACACTCCTAAACAAAAGATTTTTCTGAGTTAAGTTAATAGGTTGCTAGTTAAAATCTGGTGCAGTGGAAGGTTGTTTGCTGATTATGACAAAACGGTGTTTAAAACAGGATAAGACAAATTATATATTAGTTTAATTGCAACAACAACAAAAATACAATGTAATAATTGATAGAAAGTGACTTAATTATGTAAAACTTCTGCCTCATGTCAAAGTTAAGCTTAAGTAAACTTTTGATAAATGAAAATAAGAAATTACTAAAGTCTAATTTTTAAAAAGTAAAAAAAAAAGTATGATTCTCTCTGTTGTTGTTTTTTTGTTTCCAAACTAATTTCAGTGAAAATAGAATGACTATTGATTGATAAACAAGTTAATAAATGTTAATTATGTAAATGTAAAATAAATAGTTATTTATTTATCTTATGTTTGTTAATTATGTAAATGTAAAATAAATATTTATTTATCTTATGTCATATTTTTTACACTTTTCACTTTGTTTCAACTTTTTAATTTTTAATATTTGAACTCAGTTTACCTAACATTAATTATTGCTTAATTAATTATTGCCGTACAGTATATTGACGCAGCCTGAAGACGACGCTTCATTTCTCCTTCCTACGTTTGTGTCTCTGAGTCTTCGTTAATATCCACAGCCTCTTCTCTGTGTGTGTCTTTAATTAGGAGCAGCCATGCAAACTAGGCCACCAAGCAGGGGATAATTGGGCATGTAATTATGAAAAAGTCAAAAATGCAAATGAGGTGATGGACATGGTGGCTGGTCAAGACGACGTTGGAACACTTGACCTATTTTTATCGTTCTGAAAAGACGCGTTTCTTGAAGAGTCTTAGTCTGGATTACACCGGGCAAATCAATTGGAAGAAACAGGTTTAGTGCGCAGATTACAGCATAACTGCATAAAGGGGAAATTTATAATCCACAGGTTGGACAGGGTCTCAATTTTCACCAGACCATGTCTTTTTGTGTCTGTGGTTCCATAGCTGTGACCCTTGACCTGTTGCTCCTTTATCATTGAGGTGAGGCGTATCTGTCTGTAAGGCTCTTTGTATAAACACAACAAAAAATGAATTTCAGATTAGTCTGAATTCAACCCATACTAAGTTAAATTACTGACCAAATCATAAATTAAAATACTGCTCATATATATATATCCTAAATCCTATATATTCCTAAATATATAAATACAGATATATAAAGAACACAGACATCTACCTGCTAATATTGGTCTTAGATAACAAAGTTGGAGATTAATGAATGATGAAACAAAATTTCAATAATGATTTATCCACAGCTACCTTGTAATTATTAAATTAAAAATGAATCATTTCGATTTTAAAATGTTTCTCGCCCTCTCTTTCATTATACACACATATATAGTACAATTATATTAGGCAGGCGTTTCGTGTAAACGAGTCTTTTTTTAGCATCATAATTAACTTCCTCCTGCTGCACAGCTTTTTTCCGGCGCAGTGACGTCACAAAGAGGCGGCAAAAGGAAGAAAAAAACCGAGTCGCGTCCGTGATGTCAGACGCTGAAAAAGTTCGCCACGTGGTTTAAATCGACATGTGGGCCTAGTTGTTCCTCAATGGCGGCTCGACCTGGTCCGGATGTAGCGCTGAGAGGAAAAGGTAAGATGTTTTTTTTTCGTTCTTCTGGCGGTTTTACTCTGTGTATTTATTTGAGCTAACTAGCTTAGCCTGCACTTAGACTTGTTTATTTATTTGCTTTGCTGAAACGAATTTAAAATTGACAGAAGCACGCCAGAATGTGTTTGGAGAATATTTTTAGCCATTCAGTCACGTTTTACCAGTTTGGTGTTTAAAGTACATTTCTAAAAGAAACGGTTTACATTGCAATAAACTTGTGTTCAACAATGTTTGTAATGAACAGATGCATTGGGATTTCTGCACATGGAGACCAGGTCGTAGTTGTCGTAGTGTCAAAGTCCAGGCCCGGGAACTGAAGGACAAGGTGAGTTATTTGTGGAGTAAAACTTAGGTTCTCTATTTAACTAGTAATTATTAAATTAAAAGTAATTATTTGACAAATGTCAAAAACGTCAGTACTTCACATGACTCATCTTTGTCTCTCTTTTCCAGGTTGATCATCCTGAAGATCTTCAACACAGTAAGAGTGTTTTTTTTTTTTTTTTTTGTGGCCGCTGTGCCCCATGCTGAGCCTTGCTGCATGTGTGTGACAGGGTGTGTGAAACATAGTATTACAAACAGCAAATGGCCACCTGTCTTTTCTCTGGTTTGTTTCCTTTCTGTTTTTCCAGTCTTGAGTTTAAAGGCTGTTGAATCTGGGTTTTGGCGTAATAGCCATAAACCGCAGGATGGTTAGCCAGTCAGTGAAGTCTTACAACTCACTGCTGAAAGTTGTTGTGGCTCTGGTCCCTTTTTAATGGTGTGGATGCTGAACTGCTGAGCTTGTAGGCAAATATTGGCTCTGGGTCTGATGTCTGACCGTGGTAGTTAACAGAATGGCTGCAGAGTGTGATGTGAACTTGAAGTTTGTGAATGACTGGAGTGGTTTTAAGCTCAGCAGTTTGTAGATGTGTTGTGTGAAAATGTTCTGTCTAAATGTGTGCAGTAACGAATTTTACTTTCTAGGTGTTGTCAACAAAGGGTGAGTCCAGAAATTTATTATTTATCTCCGGATGGCTACCCTGTCAGCCTCCGTCTTTCCTGTCCTTGGATTTTTAGAGTCAGGATTCAAGAGAGAATTGTATATAAATGGAGGTACTTCTCTGTAATGTAATTTAATCGTTAGGAGATGACTGAACAGTGTCCGTGTATAATATATAAGTAACAAATTCAGACAAAATAGTCTTATTTAAAGTCTATTTAGAAAAGTTACAATACCTGTACCTGAGGAAACACTAAATTGCGATTAGTTGCGCGGCTGAAATGTGACACACAAGGTAAGTGACACTTGATCTTTCTTTTCCCAGCCGCCGTGCTGATATTACGCCCCTAAAATGGCCTCCCGCCATGACCTTTTTTCCAGCTGCCGTGCTGATCTTTAATTCTATCCTGTCTGCCATTTCATAAAAATCTTCCGTCTAAAAACGGCTAGTTGTCGGTCAATGTTAAGTAGACATAATGGTCACTGTTCAATCTAAAATATGTAAAACTAAAATGTGGAGGAGAGTAGCAGCAGAATTTCTTCCATTTCAAACCTTTGTGTGTGTGCGTGTGTGTGGGACCAGATGTTGAACCAGGGCTGAACTAACATGTTGTTTTCCAGTGACGAAGATGAGGTTAGCTTGGTTTGAACTGGATTCAGTGCTGCTGTAGCGCTTCCTCTTGGCTGCCCACCTGTCTCCTGTCCTTTATTTCCCAGTGTGGCCTGTGTAGTCAGGAATATTTTTACCTCTTAATTTAGAGTTCAGTGGCAGTTTTAATAATTCAATCATTCCGTAATTTTATTCTTGCGTTTGCGGTCCTTTTATACAACTTCGGACATTGCGGTCATTTTCCACAAATGTGAACATGGGCTTTCCATCATTTTCCGGCTCTCCGGTTGCTGTCCAGAGGGACTAAACTCCAGCTTCACCTACCAACATTGGGAATCCAGAACCTCTTCATCATGTGTATTCCATACTTTGTATATTTCAATGTATATTCATGTAACTGACCTGTCAATGTATATTCATGTAACTGACCTCTCAATGTACATTTATGAAACTGACTTGTCAATGTATATTTATGTAAATGACCTGTCAGTGTATATTAATGACCTTTGTAACTGTATGCTTATGTAAATGACAAATGTACTGTATGTAGATTTGCTTGACTGTTAGACTTTTGTTAATGTATATTCATGTCATTGGTGACAGGTGTGTATGCCACACACAATCACTGTCTGTGTTGTCAATCTAGATGCATTTGCATGACCTTCAATGTAATTGTTTTTTCATGTGCATGTCATGTTTCCTTGGTGCTCATGGTCATTACCAGGTGGCTGGGTGCCTGTCAGGATCTCACTCCAGTTGTAAATCTACTGCCCACCAATTTTCACCCTATTGACCAGAGTACAAGTTAGGGCTGAGAGGTATACTGTAGTTTTAATATTTGACTGTGTTTTAAAGGCTGGTGAATCTGAAGTTGTTGGATTGTAATGAACATTCAGCCCATTGATGATGTTTGAAATGTGAAATTTAAATTCACTGATTCTGACAAACACTGTTTGGATTTACATTGTCTCTAATGTCATCAAACAGTTAACTTTTAAGGCTGGTTTGTCTCCTGCTGCCAAGTCTGTTTCCTACTAAAGACTTTTGAGCCCTTTAGTGGTGTTTAGACGACTCGTGGGAGGCCTCCCACAGAGGAATTTTGTCCTCTGTAACGCGACCAGTTTACTGGATGTATTCAGGGCTAAGTTAGCAAATTTATAAACATACTGGTGTAATCTGTCAGGCATACAGGTTAGATTGCGCGTTTAGGTTCTTTAATAGAAAATATACTTGGCAAAGAGACAAACCTGGACTTTGTAAATATTAAGTTAATACTTATCTTTTAAAAATAGCATTGACAAGTTCTGTGGGCTGAATAGCAAATGAAGAGATTTTTTTTTAAGTTTGCAGTTTAATCTGAGACCTATTGAAACTTTTTTAAATTCTTGTAGTTCTTAACCTCTTGATTGTGTGGGAAGTTTACAAGTTAAAGTGAGCTGATGGGGTAGAACTGGTTTAATTGGAACAGATTTAGTAGCAAACTGTCCTCAAATGTTATCACAACAAAGTTGGCTTTCTGGTCTAACGATGAAGTGAGATAATTAGAAACTGTTTGACACAGTCATCATTGCTGCATGAAAACAAGCTGTTAGAGTACTGTGTACTGATGCAGGCTTATTTACAAGCTGTGGTCAGACTACTCTGAAATGTCTGCTAATTGTCAGACAGTCTGAAGTTCAATGGCATTGGTGTAGCATGGACACTGTTTCCAACACTAGACATCCCTCTGGTTTTGGAATGCTGTATCCTCAAAACTGTGACCAGATATTTTGTTGTTGTTGTTGTTGTTTGGATAGAGGTCAAACATTTCAGTCTGTCTTAAGTATTGGTTGTTCAAGGGAGATGTGGTCCTCTGTAGTTCAAGTAGTAGTGTCCAAAAGGCTGATTCTGACAGGAGGATAGCAAAGGATAATTGTGCTGCTGATGTATAGTATTAATTTGGAGCTGAGTGATTGACAGGGCACCTGGGAGAGAGCATTCACTTGTTATTTGAATTTACTGCTGTTTAATCTGGTAGTGAATTACTATCGGTGGGTGGTGCAGTTGGTGACGGGGGTGTAGGCTTCACTAATGCTTTCCTGATTGACTGGCTGTGGTAAGAGCCGTCAATTTAACTGGTAAGACCCCTGGTATTTCCTGGCCCGGAGGTGTTGGTGAGGGATCCATACAGCCTCTGGATCTCTGGCGTCCTGGACTGTAACGTGAAGGTGGATCAAGTGGACCAATTGCTTAGTAGCAAGATCTTCTCAACCACTGGATGTCTTCAGGTGTGTTCCTCACACTGATCACTGATAAATATTTTTACTTTAACCTGCAGACAGACTGACTGATCTGTTCTGTTTGTAGGATTCTACGGATCAGAGTCGACCAAGTAAGGAGAAGTACAATCTTCATCAAAGGGACCAGAGGTGAACAGAAGGGTGGAGTTTTAAGGTTTTTTTTTTTACTCTTATGTGAACAAATGTTGAGTGATTTCTAATCTGAAAACTCAACTCATCCAAACTCTTACTGGCTTAATCACAGATTTCACTCATCTGTCCAGTCTCTTGATAACTGAGACTAATCTTCTGGTTTGTGTTGTGTCAGGATCAGTATGATGATGATGATGATGATGCTGCAGCGTTCATCTTGGATGACGTCTCGGGGCAGTGGAGTTTCTGTCTGTTGACACAGCAGACCAACATGATATGGGATGGACCCAAGAGAGCTGAAGTTGGGAAAAGATAAATTATCATCTACTGGTTGGTTCTCTGAAATCACTTGTGCCCTAAACATGCCTAACATGCATATACCCCCCCCACCCCCCATCCTCTGTTGGCAGATGGTGGTGTAGGCCATGTCAAGCAGGATGCATTTATGAGACAACTAACATGAAAAACAGAAGCCAACTCTCTGTTACAGCAGCATTAAACAGACAGGTTTGTCCTTCTGTCTATATGTTGTCCTCAGTTTGTTGTTATATAGAAAACTTACTTGACTCGTTCATGTTTAGGTCCAGGACCCAGAGGATCCACGCCCACCACAGCTGCCAGACGAAGCCATTCCATTCCCTGCTTGGCTGTGTATGGGTTTTAAGTTTGATCAATTACAAATCAGCATTTAATTAAAGTCTTAAGATGCAGTTTGTGGTCACTGATGAATTCAACTACACGCTTGATCCTGAATTTATTTTTAATGTGCTTTAGTTTACATTCAGTTGGAATTTAATGGTCTGGATTTCCTTCACTTCACTTCACTACTACTAACCCCTATCCTTTCCTAACTCTTCTTCTTGTTGCTTAAAGAAACTCAGCCACAAATTCTTACTTACCGAGTGCTGTACCATGGACGCAGTTCCCAAAATCAGACCTGGATCCATCTGATTTTGTGACCTGGTCCATCCATGGTACAACATCATCCTCCAACAATGTCAATGTGAAGTCCTTATCACAGAATGAAGATTTGGTTTCTGAAGCGTTTGTAGTTATTTCATCAGTGGCTCATCAATGTCATAGTGATTCAGTTCATGGTTGATTGTTTGTTTTAGTTTGGGGTGCATGGCCCTCATAATCTTTATTTATTTATTTATTTATTTATTTTGGACGGGGTAGTGGAGTGACAAGATTTATTTTTACCATTCAGCTCATTTGAACTCTTCTGTCATACTGATGCTATTTGGCCCTAAATTATATTCATTGAAGGTTTTTGGGCTTTCAGGGCCCAGAGGTTTGTCTCCATCTGCCAAGTCTGTTTCCTACTAAAGACTTTTAAGCCCTTTAGTGGTGTTTAGACGACTCCTTGGGAGGCCTCCCACAGAGGAATTTTGTCCTCTGCAAAATTGCGCGGTTTAATGGATACACGCAGGGATAAGGTGGGTAATTTATAAATATGCTGGTGTAATCTGTTAGGCATACAGGTTAGATTGCGCGTTTAGGTTCTTTAATAGAAAATATACTCGGCAAAGAGACAAACCTGGACTTGGTAAAGATTTAGTTCATGTTATTCCTTTTGTTTCTTTTATTTATTTTATTTTTTGAGAATATAGGCCCTGGACTTGGTAAAGATTTAGTTCATGGTATTCCTTTTGTTTCTTTTATTTATTTATTTTATTTTTTGAGAGTATAGGTTAATCTTTACTACCTTAAGGCTAAAGGGAGTCCCCAGCTTCTGCAGCTTAGGTTCTTGTGAATCAATTGTGAAGTTTCTTCACAATTGATTCAGTGTTTGGATAAAACAAGCCCTGAGTTTCCTCCTGTGTGTAGTTCACTTTTATTTGATTTGTAACTATTTGAATGTTTGACGTCTGTGATCGCAGCTCTGTCTTTTGGGTTGAAGGTGGTACCGGAAACTTGAATTGCTTTGGTGTAATGCATATTCTTTGAATTCATTGTTTTTTGAACTGACACTTGCCATTTTTAAATGGTAAAGTTCATCTTTTGTATTTTTACACTTCACTGTATGGATTGACAAAAAACTTGTGGTATGTAACACTTGATTTCTAACTGATTTTTTTTCTCCCCTGTAATTTATCAAAATTAACACGTTTGCTAACTAACCTTTGTTGGTCTTTCTTTTATCCATCGATGCATCGTTTTGGCTTGGGAACAAAATACACCAGGACTTTCATACTTTGGTGTTTCGCTCATATTTTATTCACCTACCTAATATTCCAGCAGTGTTTCATGTCCCGCTAATAAAAAACAAACATGTCAGTAATCCATGCATCACATTTAGTCTGTTACAAGATCCACATGAAGGCATCATTGTTTTTTTCTTTTCTTCCCAACTAGGTCATTACAATTAAAACATTACATTTAAATCCACTAAAAAAATGGTAAAATATAAAAAATCTAAAAGTATAAATAGAAATTTGGTCCATTAAAAAAAGATTACTATAATTTTATGTACATTAGATTATTACTTTTTTTTTAATATCTGACCCTTACTTAACAATTGACTTCAACAGCACACTGCAGCTAGTGTTGAAATGGTATGTACAAAGAAGTCCAGTGCATAAGCCCTATAAAACACTTAAATCGTATGTTGTGTAAAAAGATGCCATGTTTTGTTTTTCCCTTTGGGCTCAGTGCCAATAAATACAAAGGTTCAGGAAGGTGTTCGTTAGCCGAGTGAAACGTTACAACATTAAAACATCAGTTAGTTTACAGCTTGTATCAAAGTTAGACATAAAGGATAAAAATACAAAAAAGGCACAAATTACAAAATCATGGCTGTCCAGATAGAAAAGAGACAGTTTTTCTGACGTCTGCCTTACAGCCTCGGTTACAAATAAAGAACATTCTTCTGTTTCTTCTGTTTTTTGAGTTTGAGGGTTTTTTTTTTTAAATTGTTATTATTATTATTTTCCTGACAGTTGTCACACCAGGGATTCAAGGCTCTCTGCGGTGCTGGCACTTCCTACCACAATGGTACCATTGATGTCAGAGGACTGGAGGACTTTCTCGTCTTCTTGTGTTCCAATGAGACTCAGCATGGCTTTGTACAAGAACTGGTACTGCTCCTTTAAGAGAAGCAAAACGATGGAATTGAAGCATATGAATTAAATCTTGAAGGTGCTTGACTGTTTTAGAACTTTAGTTTGAACTGTCACTTAAAAAAAAAAAACAATGAGAAGAAAGAAAAATTCTTTACCATGTCATTGAAGATTCCTGGCCTCATGAGGGTTGTCAGTTTTGCCGTTTGAAAGATGTCGACAGAACCTTCAGCCTCCAGCTGACGAGTCAGAGACAGCAGTGAGCAGAAAGTTCCTGCTGTGACTCCACCCACACTAGAAAAAAAAAACGTTTAAATTAATTAATCCTTATTTTCTAGTGTTTCAAATACCTATATTTAAATGAAAGTCTTACTCATCGTGGACTACGATAGGTCCGTCCTTTGTAGTGCTCTCCTTTTTGACAAGGTTGAGGAGTTCAAAGGTGTTGCTAACAGGGCTGTCTGGGTTTGGCCAGCAGGGTGCGCGGTAGTGCTTTAACTCCAAAATGTAGTCGTCCTGTTAAAAATGAATGAAATAAAGCCTAGTGACTCAACACTGACGTGACTTGAAATGTTTCTCGACCAAGGACTCGAAACCGTGACTCAACACTGACGTGACTTGAAATTTTTCTCAAGTCTGAGGACTCGAAACCCCTCAGACTTGATCTAGCTTTTAATTAAACTGTTCCTCCACCACTAGGACTCCCGGTGGTCAGGAGTGGAACTGCAATAAAAAAAACCTGCCTTTTCAACGTTTGTTAAAAGAGTGTGCTGACCAAAGGACTGCATCACTAACACACTATAATGACTAACAAATTGTAAATTGTCCTGACACGTGGTTCTGACCTGTTTAGCTTCCAGAACATACTCTTCCACCACCAGCACATCCTCGTTGGTCAGACAGATGAGGTCTTCTCTTCTCTGTGTGACGGAGAACATCTCGTATGTTAGTGGTTTTCCCTTTGTGGGCCAGAAGACGCAGGACTCTGTGTCCTCCTCCTCGTCCTTCACTTCCTCATCGATGACCTAATAACACACAGGTCATTGACACATAAGGGATTTTTACATAAGTGCATTTTTAATATTCACTGCTAATGTGAAAAAGCTATAAACACATACACATTTGTTGACTGAATTATATATCTATGTATAATTATATATATTTTAATTGTATTTTAATTTTAAAGCAGAATATAAAGTTCCTTACCCCACCAGCTGGGTTTCCCCGCAGTGATACAATGATCTGAGTGTTGTGGTCCCATATCATCCTCCAAAAGTCCTTTGTAGTTGAAACCAAGGGATTCTGGGTAATGATAAACTCTTTGCTCTGCCTGTAACCCTGGGAATGAAAATCACAGAAATTAATAATAATAAATAATAATTTGAACTTGATTGGTGGAAATCACACCCATGACTCTCTGCTTGTGAGGCATGTTAACAAATTATTTAAATTTAAATTATTTTTGCTGGGTTTTTAAAATTCTAAATCAGTTGTGTAGACAAACGTAAAAGATTCCAGCACTTGGCTTTATCATCTAATGCATTTCATTTGACTTTGTATGATTTGGGTTTTTTCTTACTGCAACATATGAAGCATTTATGTAGTCGGACGTTTCTCCTGCAGAGGTAGACAGACGAACTCGGTGTCTCTCAACTGTGAAACAAAAAAAATACAAAGGAAAAATTTGTGTTTACAGGAAAAATATTGGATTTCTGGTTTGAACAAAGTCAAAGTAGCAGCGACTGACCAGGTAAAACAGAGCAGTTTCTGTTCTTGCTGTGATTGCAGTCGAGGAGCGCCGTTGAGTAGTCGCTTTGTTTTAATCCAGACGAACAAAGCAGCTGTAAAAAAAAACAAAACACAAAAGACAGTTTACAATCTATCTGTAGTGTATGAGCTGTTGTCCATTTTATAATTGTTGAATTTTTTTTTGGAACTTCTCACCTTATACTGGGCGTCCAGGCGTGTTTTCCCAGCAGGCCCTGGGGTCAGCAGCTCGTCAACATACCTGTGTAACTGAGCTGCAGCAACATTCGTCTCACCTGAGACTATGGCTTCTACCAGGGCATCGTGGATAAAAACATACTGTTCCTGTAAGATGGAGACAGAAGGCAGAGATGTTGTAGTAAACCAAGAGATAAAAAACCCCCACACATCACATGATCGAATAAACGTTTGCAGGCCGACGGGAGGCCGACCTCAGTCTGGACCAGGTAGTTCCTCTGTGTTCGGATGTGTTTGAGGAAGCCTGTGATGTTGACGGTGCCTTCTTCTCTGATCTGTTTCAACATACTGTCCAGGACGATGTAGGTTCCGGTCCGGCCCACACCAGCACTGCACAACAGGGGAGAGATGTAACTAGATCTCAGCATTTAAAACTCCTGCAGCTTAAATGGAAACACATTTGTAGTCAAGTCTTGCTAACCATGTGAGGCTTTCACTTGAGATGACATTTAGAAATGATTTAGAAGTTACCTGCAGTGTACCACCACTGGACCCACGTCCTGTGGATGATTGTGACTGGATGATTTGTGAACAAAGCTCAGCAGTGGCAGAGCGAACTCTGGGACCCCCATGTCAGGCCACTGGGTGTAATGGTACTGAAGAACTGTTCGCTCATGGTTGCGTCCCTTCACTGAGCCCTGTAGAAAACCCAAGGTTACAAAAATGAACTTGTCCATTAAGCAATATATTGTGAAAAATATTTGGTGCCAATTTTTATTCATGTATTCTGCATAGAAAAAAAATCCCACAAATTAATAATGTTAACATTTTAATTAAGGGCCTAAATTAAACAGGAAGTGAAGCCCAATTCCTTATGTTAAGGTTTTTTTTTTCACCTTTTTGACCTGTGTGTTCCTGACACTGAACGTCCTCTGAGTGTAGTAGGCCAGGACTTGGCTGCTCTTTGTGGTCACCAGGAAACTGCCGTACTCCTCCTGCACCTCCGTCGGCCAGTACTGATCACACTTCCTCTGTAGGAAGACAGAAATCTTTGTATTTACATTTAACTCCCAGCCTTTTCATTGATATTCCTTAAGTCAGTAGGCATGGCAGCTGAGAGTCCTGGGTTTGATTCCCAGAGGATATCCCTAATGTCAGCCCACATGTTGGAAAGACTCATACTTAACGTTGAAAAAACAAATTTAAAACTTAACGACAAAGCTGACTAGCAGGACTTACTCTTCCGTTCTCCACCAGGTTTGTGATCATGACAATAATGCCCACGTTTTGCTCCCAGATCATCCTCCAGAAGTCCTCGGTGCTGGATCTCAGTGGACCCTGAGCAGCGATATAGGACCTGGTCTTTTTATAACCCTGAGAAAACAAATGCACACACACTCACATGTTTTATCTACTGACTTTTTCCCCCTCACCATCCATTAAAAAATGTAAATTACAGAAAAAAGATATTCTGTTTTTATAGAAAAATATAACAGTTCAGTTTTCAGTCAGAGTTAGAGTTTCTCTTCTTCTCCGTAGACCTGGATAAACTGACAAACATGTGGAGCACCTCTGCTGGTTCGTTGTTTAAACCAGCCTATAATCACTTTATCCATTTCTTTCATCTAGTCACTTCTGTCTCTTCAACTGGACTTTTGACACATCTAACTAAACCTTGAAATTTAGTGTAATTTTTTTTTTCTAAAGAAAAGGATCAGCAAAACTGTAAGAGTGATAAAAAAGCTCCAATATTCTGAAATAAATTGGCACCATAAAACACACTTTGGTAAATATTACACGTTATTTTTTCAATCACAAGTAGCACAGGAAAGAGTCTGAGCAAAGCACAGCATTGGCTGGTAATAGATTGATAACCTTCACACAACTATTGCAGCATGAAATCATACTGTTGAAGCACAGACAAAAGTGTGAGCTGGAGAGATCCTCAACACGCTTTTACCAACTCTATAACCAGTACGTCAGCTCTCCAGAGAGGCCCTGACGGCTGCGAAGGCTTTTTGAGTCAAGTCTGCGTTTTACAAAACAAGTCAAAACTGAAAATTAGATTTTAATCACGCAGTGACAAGTATAATGGAGAGCTCTGCTGGTTCCTGCCAACAACAGCGCATCTCATGAATAGCTGTCGAAATTGGCAGATTTGAGTCTAGGAGGATAAGAGGGAAACGGTGAACAGATTGTGGGAATAAAAAAAAAAGTTATGACAGTGTTTAATAGATTGAGAGCTTTGAAAAGAGCCCAGGGTGAAGGTGAAAGTCTCGGTGTGTGTGCAGTGGCTTAGAATGAGAGTGTCATGCAGGTTAGATGGAAGTTTCTTACATCCACAAAGTTTGCGTTGATGTAATCGCTCGTCTTCTGGTCTCTGTCGGCCGATGTTGACAGACGCACTCGGCTGTGGTCATCTGTGGGATACAGTAGGTGTGAGTCGTTGATTTAAATGTCGATTGAAATTTCCAAAATTGTATTGCAGCGAGTCTGACGCACAGGCCAGGATGTTGCTGTATCTGTTTTTGGTCCTGTTGTCTGGGTGGTTGGAGCCGTCTGTGGTCATTTCCATGTCCACCGTGCAGGTCTGCACCTCCTGAAAACACACGTGTGTGTGTGTGAATACATGAAGTTTTATGGTCTCCAGTATAGTTTTTTTTTTTTTTTTGATTAATAAAATATCTGAGGAATTATGGTCTCCAGTATAGTTTTTTTTTTATTAATAAAATATCTGAGGATTTGAACCGCAGTGTTTTGTTTTGATTCATACAACATTGTTTGGAGACGTACAGCTCCACAAAAGAGCAGGAGTTCTGTGCTATAGTGACCTATGTAACAATGAGGTGTTACCAGTAAACTCAACTTGTGGGCAAAGGCATTACTATTGTGTTTATAGCACCTCCTGCAGGAGACAGGTGGTTTTTAATTTAAAAACCTTATTTGAAAAAAATAACTTTCCTGCTTTTCTACTATATTAATTAAGAGCATTTCTATTTTCAGATTATGTGAGAATAGAAATGAATAGCTTTTATCCAGTGAGTATTAGCACTGGTGTGTTAACAGGAACTGAATCAACTTGACTGACGTACATGCAAACACACATCACATGGAGGAGCACGACTGAGCGAACGTGGACGGCAGCAGGGGAGCGTCTTACCTCGTAGCTCTCCTTCAGAATCTGAACAGTGAGGGTGAGGGAGCAGCAGGCGGCCAGGAAGGGTCCACCACAAATGGAGGGGGTGCAAAAATACACATTACACACAGGACAACACAAACACACAAAACAGCCACTAAAAGACAACCACTTCAGATGGCAGACAGCGAAGGTCAGAGCAACAAAGGAAGTAGAGGAGACACGGCAGACTTGGAAAATATATTTAAGGGAACTTCTTTAAGAGCTGATTGGTCTGTTCTTAAACATGACTTTCTTATGATTTATATTGTGGCATATATTGACCAGTGTTAATAGCACCCTCTGCAGGGTAGAGAGGTAATTACAGTAATTAGTCTGGTTTACGTGGGACAAATATTTGTCACATTTATTTTAGTCATGTCTAATAATAACGGCTCATCGATCTTATTGGCCCGATGTTAGCATAATTATATAATATCTGTAAGAATTGTTATCGTTTTTTCCTCCAATAATGAAAACCTGATAAGACAAGACAGAATGATAACAAATAAGAAAAACAATGAAATTATAAAAAGTAAAAAAATACTGGTTGCTTACTTCAAACTCTCTCTGAAAGCCCTGGGTGTCATGGAGTTCAGCAACATGTTTGACAAAGTCCTTGACATTTTCCTCCATTTGTTTGTCTGAGAAACGTTTCACAGAAAAAAAAAGGTAGAAAACTGAGAACACTTTTATATTATTTGAGTTTAACGGCATATGTCAAATGGTTCCAGAAGAAAACAAGTGGCAAGTCAAGGTATTTTAAGAACCAAAACACAGTAAAGTAAGATGAAGGAGGGTATTTTGGAATGACATACAATATTAAAACTACAGTTATACAAAGTATATAATAGCCATGTTTTTATTTTCCAAAATAAAATAAATACAATTAAAATTTAAAATAAAAAGTCTGGAATGGCAAAATAATTTATGAAGGGACATAAAGTTAAAAATAGGAAACAAAATCTAAAAAGGTGGTGCGTTTTAAAAATATTTATATCTCTTGAATTAGTACTCGTATAATAAAAAGTTAATTTAGCAAAATATTTTTTTTATCAGACTAAAAAAATGAAGATTTGAGATATTACATATTTGATGTATTACATTTAAGTTGTACATAACAGTAATATTAATATTATTTTTATAATAAAGACATTCTGTATTTGAGGCTGAATTACAGAAAACACATTTGACAAATTCAAGGTGTTACCAAAAATAGCGAGTGTTTGTAGAGAAATAGAAACGTGTGTGTTACCCGATGTTGCCATGTAAGGTGCAGAGATCACTCTTGGCGAAGAACTGTCATCGATGTAGAAGTGTGCTGTCTGGAAACAGGTCCTGTTGACAAACAGAACAACAGAAACAACATTTTAGCTCCATGTATTATATTCCATCAAATGAACATGTTTACATTAGGCCGTGTGATGATCCAGATTATGAACAAGGTTGATTTGGCCCAGAAAACACAACAGTACGAGATTTTTCATCTCTGACATTTGTTTTTTTTTTTTTTTAAAAAAGACAAGAACATTTCCAATCCCTTGTGTTGCTTCAGATCAGAAAAGGCACATTCATTCATAAAGGGCTGAGCTCTGAGATGAAATATTAAATGCATGAGAAAAAAATAAAATAAAATAAAAGCCAAAAATTAAATATAAATCTAAAGATTAAATTTGGTTTACTACACTCTTCAAAGCAATTAAAGGTAAAACACAAGGCAATTTGATTTATTTTAACACAGCTCTCAATATAGCAAAAAGGCAACAACCATCTAGCCAATAACATGAAAGTTTGAAATAGGTTTAATACAATATAATAGTCACATTTGACCCCTGTAAAAAAAAAAACCTCAATCAAAAAAATCAGCACTTAACACACTTGTGAAAATCATGAAAATGTATTAACAGTTACTACAAATGTGTCTTCAAATATCAGGTTTTCTATACTGTGAGACTAAATAAGATTAAATGTCCATAAAAATAACGATTTTCTTTTTCAAAACACAGTTGTTTGGATCCAGGGCAATAGTTGTTGCTTATTGGGAAAGGAGGGGGGATGTGGGTAAATCTGAGGATCAGTGTCCTACAACCAGCAGCTTTGATCCCTGGTTTCTTTCCTCTCATGTCTACGTGTCGCGAGTCAATTAAAAACTCAATCTTGGTCAAGTGTAAAGTCTTGTAAATCGACTGCTTGACCTCAAATGCACAGCAACAGTGACCAAATGAGCACTGCTGGTGTCGCCGTGAAGGAAAAAGGACACAGCAGCAGCAGGATTAGAGCAGTGTGGCCCCCTGTTGGTTCATCTACAGGATATGGACATGAGTCTCAGTGTCTGACATAATCAAGCAGATGCCCTTTTCAATCCCCTGACTGTGTGTGTGTGTGTGTGTCTTGGCTGAGTGGACAGTTACAGCTCCTGCAGCCATGAAGCATCTTTAACCAGGATTAATCCTGTGGGTGAAGGATTATCACCAGTTTAGTACAACGCAATCTCTGCGATACAACAATGTGAGTTGTGCAAAAACAAGACCAACAATTTGTGGAGCTTGATGAGAAACACTGGGTGTCCTTGAGGAAAATTGAAGAAGCTCATTCATTTCACAGTCTGAGTGAGCAGCAAGAAACGCTCCACAGGACACAATGAGGCACCGGGTGCATCTCTGGGGCCCGGAAAATTATTTTTAAATTATTACCAAAGAAACTTTTATTTACTCCATGTCTGTATTTCATGAGTCTGAATAAATAGCAAAAACAGCATCTCTCAAGGTCGACTGAGAGAAACTAAAACACTTCCCAGACAAGAGAGGTGAAGGCAGCTGAAAGACTTCCTTCGTTTAATGGATCTGAATGTGGCAACACACACACACACACACACAAATAGACATAATGCATCCCCGACACCTCTATTATATATTAACCTTAACCAGATTATATGCCTCATGTGCCTGAATTTTCACGGTACCATGTCTGAACAAAGTTCTAACCATAACTCAGTGGAGACCAACAAAATGTCCCCACAAATATTGGAATACACGGTGCACACACACACACACACACACACACACAGATCTATGTAAGATTAAGACCAAGCTCATGTTCCACAGGATTAAACCTCCCAAGCAACATGACAGCAGGCTTTCACTGCAGTTAGCGTCTTATGCGTACTGGTTTGTGTGGGCAGTTTGTGTCTGCTGATGGCCAAGACTGACATTACATTCCCCGGGAGCACTGACCTCCAGTAGACGAGGATGCTGACCAGAATAATAAGCCCGATGACGGTGAGGGTGGAGATGACAGCCAGGGGAACCACGGCTTTTCTCTCTTTGTCCCACATGGAACCAACCCGCGATTCATGGCTGCTGTTACTGACATCTGGAGAGAAGGACAGAGAGAGTGAGAGAAACGCAGAGAAAAGAGAGAATGTATACAGTAGTGAGGTGAGGAAAGGAAGCACACGAACCAGCCGTCACTGTGAGATAAAGCTGCTGCAGCTGCAGGAATGTGACTCCATACACTTCACATTTCCCCTAAAAACAGGCTTTATATATACAGTAGGTCGACGTCGATTCGGATCCGTGCGCTAAACAACCATAACCTAATAATTTAACAATGGTGTTTTTTTGTTTTGAAAAATACTGTATTTAAGGCAGAAAATGTAAGCAATCCATTTAGAATGGCTGTTCCAAACTGCTGCCAAAAAAATCCTTGCTCTTTATCACAATTTTGTCCTTAAATGCATGTGGCTAAAGAAGTGTAATTAATCACTTTTTTTTAACTAATAGCACAGGTACCTTGTAACAAGTATAAGTTCTTTTTACAGGCGACTGCATTTCTTCGTCATTTTGATGCGTCTACATTTAGCTACAGTCCCTGGAACCTCAGGTCTTTTCTTCAACACGGAGCTCATTACTGCCTCCGGAGGAGCTCTGGCCTCCTTGAACTCTCTGCAGACGTAAAACTGCGAAACCCTCAGATCTTTAGTGATATACTTGAGGAAAAAAACATGAACCCGTAATAACATCCCAGCAGTGACAGAAAATGTACCACCACTCGCATTCAGGCACAAACGCAGCACTAATCACATTCAAAGCACTTGAAAGAAACACAGAGTGGTGCAGAGCCGCATAATCCAAAGGTTCATCACAGATCAAGCGAGAACACACAATGCAAACGGCAGCGGCGCGCACACAAACAAGGCTCAGCTTTAGTCAACCAAGCAGCACAATGGTGACTTGGAATAATGAGGAAAAAAAACCTGACTGAATTTGACCTCACTGAGTAGCTGTGGATAAATCCTCTCTTTATCCTCTGATAACCAGTCAAAAAAAACCAAAACAAAAACACTAGTGTGTGGATTATCCTTGACTGGGCAGTGTGTTAGTCAGTAGAACTTACTTCCTCTACACAGACTGAATCAGTCCAGCTATGAATGACTGGGTCTGCCCTGCTGACCAGTTCATAAAGAGCCTGTTGTGTGCTTTCTACACTGCACTTTCAGAGAAAAAAAACTCCATTCATTCCACCATCCATACAACACACAGCCTCTCATAAACCCTGGACACTATAATGGTGATAATGGGAGGGAAACAGAAAGAAAGGCCTGGACAGAGGATGGTGAAGAGGCCTAAGAGGGCGACTGGATGATGAGCTAAGGAGAATTGAGGAAACAAGGAAAATGTCTACACTGACTTCCCAATGGAGCGGTGTCAAAGAGCTGGAGCTGAACTAAATGACAGGTTGGTGGTTTTACTGGTGGTAAATTGTTAAAACGTAGATACGTGGAAAATACAAAAACAGTATTCATGTTCCAAATCTATGACTCCAAGGATTTTAGCCCAAAATATTCCACTTGATGATTAAAAAAAGTTTGAATGATTGTGATTCAAACCAGAATGAGGAAAATCATTTTCCTGACACTGACCAAGACCCAGTAGAAAAAGTATAAAAACACCTGTAACATATGTAGTATGTGAAGCCAAACTAGTGAAATTTACTCAGTTTAATTATCAAACAAACTTCACCCTTCCAGAACCTATTGAATTGTCTAAGGTTTTTCCACAATTAACTATTTTAAATATGCTCAAAATATATTCACGTGTAATGCAACCTGAGCATCAGTCACTATGAAGGATCTTATAGAGTCTATACTGATTTTACACAATGACTATGTCAAACATATGCACTAAGAACTGCTGATGTTCTAACCAAACTGTTCAATCTGTATCCACTATCAGGTCACCTCCGTCTCAGCCCCCGCTCTTTTAGACAAAACCACTCTCTCTTATGTGACCATAAAGTCTGAATACTGTCTCGTTGTCCTTCCTCACTTTCTGTTTCCTGCTAATGTCAATCAGACGTCACTCCAGACTCACGTCTCCACGTTCCTGATCCAACACAGTAAAGGACTCGTTCCCTTTTATTTCTCTTCATCAACGTCTGTCTGCAGTTATCTAAAAAACCTCGACTTGTTGTCAAAGTTGCTCTGCCGAGCAAAACTTTTCCACAAGAAATGCATTCAACCTCGAGGACTAAACACTGAGCACACAAACATTTTTTATCAAAGTGAAAATCAGTACAATAAATATAAAACTGTGAATGTCTCACTTAGAAATCTCTTAAAACTCGCAATGTCCCTGAACACCGTTGAAGAGGGTTTTAAGCAATATTACCACTTAAAACACAATAACATACAGAGAGGCTGGTGTGGGCTGAGATGAATTATCTACCTGCTGCAAGCTTCACCTCTTCACTGGTTAATTTTCTGTAATTTCTCCCACAGTCTGCAAACTGACAAGTCAATTTGCACCTAATGAGTCGTAAACATAAGGACATTTGTTCAGTTCGGAGGATCTGTGCTGCTGTCAGGTTATTGTAAAGAAAACTGTTCACCATTCTACACATATGGGATTGGTCTAAAAGATATCCAATTTCTTTCATCAATTATATAAAATAAATCACACCATAAATTATGTTACAATTTTTTTTTTGGTGCAAACTGTTATAAAAAGGTTAATCCTGTAGGTTTTTGTGGAACAGATGGTTGTTTTTTTACTTTGGTAACATTTTTCTAATGATGATTAAAGATCATTTCCTGATGTTGTGGAGACAGAAGTTTAATAGATGTTACTGCTAAGAGACTAACTAAGTGAAGATGTATACCCTTGTATCCCTTTTAATGTGCAATGCACATACAGAATAATACAGACATGGATGTGGTCTGAACTAGAGGACCTCTCAAACAGCTTTGCTGCCCTCTAATGGCCATTACACGACTCAAAGAACTAATGTCTTTAACTGACCTTTTTCTTGTTTTGTATTGAAACTAGGGCTTGGACAACTTTACAACTAGCAATTAAAATAATGGTTAAAAATTAACGCACTTAAATACCTGGTCAGTAGGTGGCAGTAATGCACCTAAAGTTAATTTGTCAGCAATGAAGAAGACAAACAGACCGGTAACGACAGTCCTGGTACAGACAAACGGTGTAGCCAGTCCACCGTAGACCAGATGACGGGGATGACAAGACCAAACATTCTTAAAGTGTCAGATATAACTGCTGTAACTGCAACTGGAGTTTGACCTCACTGTCAACGTACCACACAGATAAAAGATGTGTGTGAATGTGAATCACAACCGATTGTGATCCAAAACATCACATCATGAAATGCATGTATTACAGACCTGATGGGATGGGTCCACTAACACTTGGGTACTCCTGGTTCTATGTTATTCTGTTAGAGAAGGTTCTGTATGACAATGGTTAGGTGATCTTGATAGATGATGGATTAGTGATCTTTTGAGTGTCCACAATTCTTCTTCATTGCCTGTTCTCTCGGACATCACCCCCCCACCCCCAACGTTGGCGGCTTTTTTAATCTGCAGGAACAGACGTGGATGTTTCTCCTTCAGGTATTAAAAAAATCTACTGAGGTCTACTGAGGAGAGTAGCTCCCATTTTTGTAGCGATGGTCGACCCCCCCCCCCCCCCCCCCACCGTTGGCGTTTTTTTCCCCTGCCACTGGCTCCTCCTCCTCCTCCGACTCTCTTTCTGTGCGCTCGGGGATACTGAAGTCAGAGGACGTCTCATTGTCGTACAGGCTTTCACTCTGCCCTGAGCCACTCTCCTCCTCCCCACCCAGTGACCAGGGTGACGGTGAGGACATAGCAGGAACGGTCGGAGATGTGGTGCTTCCTACCTCTGAGGTGATGGCACTGCCACTCTCGCTTTCAAAATAAAAGGCCGAGGACGAAATTTCATCCAGATCATCTGGATTCTGACCAGACTCTGAAGTTGTAGATGTGGGACTAGTGTAAGCAACTTGGGTTGAATAAGTTACCGAGCCCTCACCCGAGCCTGAAGTCTGCACCCTATCCCACTCCTGATCTACACCTTCCTGAGAGTCAGGGAACAGGGCTGAGCCAGAGGCACTGCTGCTCATATCTAACATCTGCCCCTCTGTAGTGGAGGTGTAAGGGGAGGATGTGGGGGAGGAAAGGTGGCCAGAGATATGGAGGACAGAGTTCCCATCTGACGCTGAGAAACCGGGAGTCCTGACGTCAGACCCTGTGGCTGCAACAGAAACGGGCAGGTCACTGTGGGTGGCTCTGAGAAGCTGGGAGTGTAAAAAGGACGATGAGGTTGAAACAGCACTATGTGAGAGCAGAGGCTCATCTGTAAGCAAAACATTAGAACCCACCACAGATACAGAATGACGGACATCTACACCAACACCAAAGTCTGAAGAGAAACCAACGCTTGAGTAAAGATCTAAGTCCCAGACTGAGGACGACAGCGGGACATCAGGTGAGGCATGCAACAAGGACGGGAGTGTTGACGGCTCCAGAGAACAGCCACACACAGGGACGTCATTGCTGGCAAAAGTAAACCCATCACCACTGAACTCAGAGAGAAATGATTCTATTGTGGTCCCTGTGGCGTACCTTGAGTCGTCAGACCCACCTGTGACAGAGCTGGATAAACCTGGGGTCACACCAGACAGGGTGTAGTCACTAGAAACAAAGACTGAGGGCTGAAGGGTTGGGCTGAGAGACAGGGAGGCGGTGGATGGATCCAAAAAGGGCTGGGCAGTGACGGTGGTGTCTGAGAGATCCGGCACCGTTAGCACATGTTGGGTGCCACTAAACACTAAAGGATCACCTGAGGAGAACGAGGAAGACGAAGAGCCAGACAACAAAAAATCACTATCACTATCGTTATCATCAAACCGAACACCAGGGGAGACGGAGTCCCAACCAGACAGGGGTTGCAAGGATTGAAGGGGGTGAGTCAGGGTGGAGGTAGCAAGCGGAGGATTTGCAGGAGAAGCTGGATCAAAGCTAAACAGTGGTGCAGTAGCAGAGGCATGCTGGGTATCCAACGCTGAGGCAGACAACACAGGCCAGGGCGAGGAAAGAGGGTCAGTCAGGCAGGTAGGAGGGTCCACGGTGTCACACAAGGGGGAGGAGGTGAAGGAGGAGGACGAAGAGGATGGGGGGGTAGAGGGGCTCTCACCGTTGGACATAGATTTTGATGTCTGCAAGAGAACAGCACTCAACTGGACATGGGTTGAGGTGGAACTTGTAGAAAACTGAGTAACGGTCTCGCGAGAGGATGAAGGTGAGGAGGTCTCAGACGGGATCTCTGAAAGACCTCCTTCAGGCCTGACGTCTTCCGGTCTATCATCAGTCCTGGCCGTGACCACGGCTGGTGTTGTGGTCCTGCTCAGGTCAAAGAGATGAGAACTGTCCGTGGTCGTAGTCAACGTGTTTGATGAAACACTGAAACCTTTTGGTTTTGCAGTCGTGAAAGTACGAGTTGTAGAAGTCAAACCACTTTTTGTCCTGGCACTTGTAAATGCTGCAGCTGTGGTTGTAGTGATGTTATTTTTCATCACTGCATTGGCCAGTGGTGAAGTAGTCCTAGTTGTAGTACTGAAGCCAACTTTGGGCTGTGCAGTACTAAATGCAGCAGCAGTGGTTGTAATGAAACCTCCTCTTGAGTTTGCAGTAGTGAATGACGGAGTAGTTGTGGAGCTGAAACCATCTTTTGGCTTTGCATTGGCTAATGGTGGACTGGACGTTGTTGTACTACTGAAACTACCTCTAGAGTTTGAAGTTGTATACGCAGTAGTTGCTGTAGTAGTAGCACCACCTTGTGCACCGCTGTCTGCAACACCGCCATCTGTCCGTGTATTGGAATTTAAATTAGTTTTTGAAGTGGAAATAAATAATTCGTTAACTGCACTTTTGGTTGTGGAATAAAACGGAACGTTGCCGAGAAAATCTTCATTTTCTCTAGTTTCTGGTGGCACAGTGACGCCTGGTGGCAGAGTAGGGGTAGTGCTGCCAACTTTCTCGTCTGAATGGCTCAGGACTTGACCAAATTGTGTGGCTTTGACCAGAGGAGGTTCAGGATCAGTGCTAGTTTTTCTTGAAGAGGAATCAACGGTGGTTGTTGTGATGTCTGGTAAAAAAGGTAATGGAGACATCGTGGTTCTTGGTGAGGGTTCAGGAAACCAGGACAGGTCGTCCTCGTCAGATTCCAAGGAGTCATTCCATGAAGGATCAGGTTCATAAGTGTCCTGTTGAAATGAACAGCAATAAATAACCAAATAAATAAATGAGAAGGAATAAATACTTAGATAAAAAAAATTACCTCATTATTATATTCTTCTGAATCTGGATCCAGTGTATTGTCTGAAAAAAATACACAGGTTGCAACTTTAGTTACTGGATTGAAATAAATATAAAAAGTTGTTGTAATGACCATAATCTACAAAGAATTCTTCATTTTGTCTCCAGAACAGAACCTTTTATATCAAGTAGAACAGAAGATAGTAATGAAGTATTATTGATGCCATAAAAATAGTTTGCCTTTATAATTATTTGAGTTGTGATATGGTATATTTCTTAAAAATAAAAATACTTCAAAACATACATTTGTGTTAAACTTGTTATTAAGTCAAATGCATAAAATGGCAGGGTGAGAAACGGTAAAGATGAAAAGGTTCACACATAAATGAACCACCTCCATGCAGCATGTTAAAAACACTGGAATATCATGCAAAAGGAAACACCAACAGAGGAAAACTTGACAACATTTGCAACTAATCAATATTTTACATATTTTAAATATAGCTATTTTTGTGTCCATATAAACTCTTGGAATGTTACATTGTGAGTTTATTTCATCTGAGAGACACAAGAAATTCAGTCATTTTTATTTGCCAATGCCACATAAACTGAGGTCAGCACACGGGGGTGGGAGGGTGGGAGGGGCAACAGGTGTGAAACTTACCTGTCAGAGGTGAAGTGATTTGCATGAAAACAAGATCACACTGAATGTGAAGCATGAGGTGATGTTTTACAAGTTTACTTAGGTGGTCGTGACAGAGACAACGACGAGGAGGTGCGGAATTTTAAGCTTATTAAATTGACTGTTGAAGTTACATTTTTACAATCCTGTGATAAACATTTAAAACTGATATACGTGTCTACAGCTACACTATAAAGGCGTTGTTAAAAACCAGAGAATAATACCAAATACTTATAAGCTATACTATACAAATACTTAATTATATATTGTTTTGAAATGTGCTATACTATACAAATACTTAATTATATACTGTTTTGAAATATATATATAATGTATATAAATTTAAATATTATCTTAATTCAGTCTAATATTTAAGTATCACTCTGCATTAGGAAAGAAAAGAAGTATAATTTTGCAGCAGCTCGATCAAACTTTCCTAAGTTAGTGGAAGTTACTGTAAGACAGTAAAGTAAAAAAACAAAACACATCAGGGTTAGTCTCTCAATGCTGCAATATTTCACTGAGATGCAGCAGTAGCAACACAGGTTTATTTTATACCAGGCTCAGTTATAATACACAGTTATTTTGACGCGCACTCCATTCCATGACGCACACGTTTCTCTTACTGTGAGATGTGGATGGAACGACGCCACAGAGTGAAAGCAAAAGACAGTTGGAGACTTTGTCTGTTCATGTGACAAGGTTACAGAGAACCAAAGCCCTTGTCTCAGAAACACAGAAAATATGAAGACAGACGCATGAAAACTGTAGAAACAGAAAGTCAGACGAGAGCTGTGGGTGAGTGGGTGACGAACTGTAACTGTGGCACAGAGTGTGGAGTATGAATAGAGTAAGAAAAACACCACAGAGTTTGTTCCAGAGGGAATGTGAAAGGAGCGTTTCTGAGGGAAAACAAATGTGGCTGCAGCACAATGGACAGAAAACTACAAAAGAGAACAACAAACATGGTTGATGAAAAATGTGTCGTGTCATAGACGGAAAAAAATATTCCTAGAAGCAGCAACAAAGTCTTTGTATACAGTGACAGACAATTCGTCTTTAACAAACGAGGCAGATTATTAGGTCTAAATAAGGTTGACTTTAACCATTGAAGCTGAATTAAACATTTCCTTCTTCAGGCCCTTACTGAACACATTCACGCTCAGATTTATTTTTAAGTCTCAAACAATTCCTCACGGACGATTTAAAAACAACACTATTATGTTCTGATACTGATTTAGTCTGTAGTCAAATTAAACAGACACATGGTAAAACAAAATAGGTTTGGAACACATTTAAAATGGGGTTCAAGTTTTAATAACTATCTTTATAAGTTTAATAGTTATCTATTGTTTTAACTTCATTGTCTTTGTCTCGCCCTGTGGGAATATTCTGGAACATTTCAAAACTAGTTTATTTAAACCACATAACTGAATAAATAAACACTTAAACTGTTCTTCTTTTTCATTCTGGTCTTAGCTTTGGGCCCGGCTGCTCTTACCAGGTTCACTGACGGGCATTAGGACCGATATCTGGTCGCTCACACGTCCGTTCAGGCCGTTGGTGCAAACCGCCACCACCTGGAGCACATAGCTGGTGTTGGCTAACAGATCGTCCAATATTGCCCCCTAGTGGTGAAAAATATGAATGACAATACTTGGTAAGAGTTTTTGTGTATGTTTTCAAATGTGGGATAACAGTAGGTTAGACCACAGACCACGACAGTCGATTTGTTACTCGAAGGAAAGTTAATATTTATATATATATATATTTGCTCACCACATCTTGGTCTCCGTCTGTCAGATATATCGTGGGGGCAGTGTTTTCAGCGTTGACCACTCTGTAGCTGACAGAATATTTTTCGATGCTCGCGTCGTACACAGCTCGAGGACGCTCCCACGTCACGAGCAGGCTGCTGAGGTTGTAGGGCGCCACCTGTATGTTCTCTGGCTCTGAACTGCAAACTGAGACACGCATAATAATGAACAACAGCTTTTATAAACTTGAAGCCATTTTTTTGTACAATAAACTTAGTCAGAATCGGTATTTATTTAAGTACATTTACACATGTAAGGAGTTTGACCAGGTATACTGGTACTTTATAATAAAAATAATGTAGAAAATTAATTTAAACCCTAAATAAATAATATAAATATACTTAATAAAAAGTGTTAAAAGTAGAACAGCAAAAAAAGCAAAATTCAATTCAAAGGAAGCGTCTAAATAAACTCGACCACCAGAGGTCAGAATTTGCTAAGACAAAGTTATTAGAATGTTGAACAAAGAACAAAATACAATATTTTTTTTACTTCAGTGGAGAAAACTAAATAATTAAACATGTGAGTTGTTATAAATAAATAAATAAATACACTGTTTATGCTATGCTAACAGCAACTAGTCTCTGTGAAATGACTTACTCTGTCAGGCCATAAACACGTTGTCACTTGTACCTTGCTGCTGGTATTGTGACAGTCCCTTATTGACAGTAATAACTGTGGGAATCTATCACCGTGAGATCACAACACATTTTTTTCTAAAACAAACCAAATAAATATTATAATATGGGTAATTTGTCTGTTTGAGGAGCAGGAGAGAGAGAGAATGTTTATTATTTTATTTCACGGTCTAAGGTCAGGTCTGTCACCACAGGACTATTAAAATAAATCCAACCCCACTTTAAAAACCAAATGGTCATCTGGTCTCTGTTACCAGAGCCTCGTAAAAACCACAGCTCATTAGAGTTAATCACAGATGATGGACCACAGCCAGAATGGAGCTGATTCCATTCACCACTGTGACCTAACGTGGCTCACGTTAGTGTTTCTATTCTATTCACTTTTTCTAATGCATTTACATTTCATTAGTACAGATCACAGCAGTATTTATTTTTGTACTGGAGTCACGCTGAGGTCAGACGTAGTAATACTGAGGTACTTCACCGCACAGAGTTTTTATCGTACAAGGGATTTTACTCTTTCACTCTATGACTTCTCTGGACATTTTTACAGTTGATAGGATTGTAGCCATACACAACAAAAATATATTTATTAGATTATTTATATCATTGTAGTATTAATTTTATTCCAATAAATATTTTTCTATTCTCAGTTTACCTTTATTTTTCAATCTCACCCCAAGATATTAATTTAAATTCCAGAATTAGAAGGAAAATATCAGGATTCCTCAATGTTTTGTTTAAATTCCAGAATTAGAAGGAAAATATTAGGATTCCTCAATGTTTTTTCCTGCCACTCTTTAAAATTGTATATAGAAAAATATCCAAAAAACCTGAATCTATAATTTGGTAAAAACTATAACATGAAAACACGAGGATAAAAATGAAAAATAGTTTTGCCATCATTTTTGTCAAATGGACAACTCAATAATAACTGCATTAACTTCCTCCACCACCTTCCCACCACCCACTGACATAAACCTTTCCGACCTCAGGCAGGTTAGTTTTCTTTTCTAACTGTGATATTTTGAAGGGTACCTGGCGTGGCAACCTCCTCCGTGCCCGTGTAGGAGGCGAACACCTGTCCCATGAACTGCTGCTGCTGCTCCCTGTAGTTGTTCTGCAGGTAGTCCATCAGCATCACGTATCCGGCCTGCTGCATGGTCATCACCTCGCAGAACATCTCCAGCTGTAGTACAACACCAACAACACCAACAACACCAACAACAACAACAACAACAACAACAACAACAGGACAACGTCAGGAAACAAGCAGCAGTTCAGTACCAAACATCCAAGCTGATATGAATGTGACCTGCAAACTAAACATTTAACAACGTTAGGAACAATATTACTCAAGACTACAGTCTTCTGTCAACAACAAAGTAAAACCTATATCAAAGAAAACATTTTTTTACTACTGACTTTATCAATAGATTTTCTGTATTTTTTTCCTCCTTACATTTATTTTCCAAAACTCTCTGAAGCCATCTGTTTCTGTGTCCGGTGTGATGAGATGTACCTCATCAGGTGACACAAAAACCAAGTCTACCTTTGACAATATGGAATTCTAACCTAAATATAATGATACATTACACATATTCCATATAAACATTTCTGAAACAGTGTTTCATGACAAATCCAGAACAACAAGAGTTCATGTAAAAATAAAGTGCACATCGTACACTTTATTTTTCATTATTTTTCATCACTACACACAGTGGAAATGAGTGGGTGTGGGCCAGGCATCAATCATGCTGAACTAGAACCAATAACCTGCAGTTTGCATCTGTACCTGCCCAGGTGAGTCACCCCCCCCCCCTCTCTCCCTCACCCCGGGGCAGGTATTACTGATTCAGGCAGAGCCATTTAAACCCTTTGTGTCCTGACATTAACAATTGAAAATATCAGGCTGTAGAAGCCTGGGCTGAGCTGGAATGTTGAACCAGCCGAGACACGTCACCTCCAGCGTCCTGGAGAGACTGCAGTGGCAAGGACTCGCCTTCAGGAGATCATTTGGATGATTTAAAACTAATCATTTTTGATTTAGCAAAACATAAAATCGTGAAAGTGGAAAAAGGGGGTAAAGAGAAGGGGAAGAAAAATTATAGCCAGGTTTCTAAATCCACTCCAAACTCTAAGTCCATGTTTTGTCCCAGTTATGATTTCAAAGTCTATAATGAAAACCCGATAAGGCAGTGCCTGGGTTTGGCCAAATGATGTATGACTAAAATAGTTTTGGGGATAAACGGCTGTATATTAAAGTGAAAGTCACTAGATGGCAGCATTGCAGATCATTTAATTAATCTATTTTAATAATCGGGGGATTGTAGGCAGAATGATGGTACCAGCAAGTCATACAGTGGTTTGTACAGATAAATATAAATATTGCCAGACCTATATCAGTATCAGTTGATATCGGAATCGGAAACTAAGTGTTTGGACAATATCGGACATCCCTACTGTTTGGTGAAAGGACAAAAAAACAAAATCTAGGGTAGATAAAATGAAATGGACTCTGTACTGTCAATGGATGTACGGTCGCTACTAAAAGTGCTGGTCAGCTCTCACCTGTTGGTCAGAAATGTCCGCCTTGTCCTTAAATACAATCCACTCCACGATCTCACTGCAGGGTGGTGTGGTCAGAGAGCCGTTGTAGATGAAATACTTCTGTGTGGAATTGGGCAGCAGACCT